CTGGGTATTTATCCAAAGAACATGAAATCAACAATACAAAGAGATCTATGCACCCCTATGCTCATTGCAGCATTATTCACAATAGCCAAGATGTGGAAGCAACCCAAGTGCCCAATGACTGATGAACAGATAAAGATGTGGTGTGTGTGTGTGTGTATGTGTGTGTATATATATATACACACACACATATATATATACACACACATATATATATACACACACATATATATATACACACACACACACACACACACACACACAATGGAATACTACTCAGCCATAAAAAAAGACAAAAGTGTCCCACTTGCAACAACGTGGATGGACCTTGAGGGTGTGATGTAAAGCAAAATAAGCCATACAGAGAAAGACAAACACCATATGACTTCACTCATATGTGGAAGATATACAAACACATGGACAAAGAGAACAGATTAGTGGTTACCAGAGGGGAAGGGGGTGGGGGCATGGGCAAAACGGGTAAAGGGCACATATGTATGGTGATGGATAGAAACTAGACTATTGGTGGTAAGCACGATGCAGTCTATACAGAAACTGATATATAATAACGTACACCTGAAATTATACAATGTTATAAACCAATATGACCTCAATAAAATAAAAAAATAAGTTAAAAAAATAATAATAATTCTCCAGGCCCTCATGTCACAGGATGACAACACTGGACCAGAGAAGGGAGGTAAATTATCATCTAGAAAGATGACATCATGAACAAGCTGAAAGATAAATACTTATGGGTTCACCCCCATGGAAGTATCAGAAAATCTACTGCTGAAGTAGAAATCAGAGCAACAAGAGGAAACATGCCTGAGGTGCTGGGTGTTCTACTAATGGGACGGAGCCAGTCCCTTCACTTAGAGCTCACTTGCCACAGGGCCGGCATACACTGGGCAGCCTTCTGCCTGAGGACAGTCTCTCTGTGCAGCACTCTGAAGACTACAACAGAGGAAGCTCTGGGGCTGTGGAGAGCCCCATGGGGGCATCTGACTGATCAGAGACCATCACAGCCCAAGTTGGGGTGCAGCCAATACGCCCAATGCTGGAGAAGCTGGAGGTCCCTGCCTCATAAGAATCACCTTCCTTGATGCCAGTTTCCTTTTAAGAGATGGATGCTCTGGTCTAAGCAGTTAACTTTTAACTAATCAACACAGAGAAGAAATACCACTGCCTGTTTACTCAGCCAGAGAAACAATCATTTAATATTTAATGAGAACGTAATAATAATAAGAGCTACTATTCAGTGACCAACTATTACACTCCGTGCCTTCAGGCTCTGATTTTCTATGATTTTTGCCCATTATCTCTGTTAAAGCTCACAAGAGCCTTCATCACAGGTACTACCATAATCCCATTTTACAGGCGAGGAAACAGAGAGTTGATGACAGGCCCAAAGTCATCCAGCTAGCAAGTGACACAGCAAGGATTTGAACTCAAGCAATCGGACTCCAGGACCATAACCTTAAACATGACGCTGTAGTGTCTCCTAAGAAAGTTAACTAATCACCATGTGGTTGGGCCCGTCTGAGCAAGGGAGAGGTCCTTATTCGCTTACAGAATTTTTTTTTACCAACAACTGTCTCATCCTGGCTCAGAACTCAGCTTTCAAGACTCATCGCAACTGACCCCTCCTCTGAGAAGTCTTCCCCAACCTCCCTGCCCTGGCCTCTCAGCACTGTCGTCCGTCCCTTCCAACCAACGGTGAGTTTTAAGGGCAGGAGTCCCGTGTTAATCGTTTTCTGTCTCTCCCACACCTGGCACAACTCCTGTTATACAGAAGACTCTCAATGGACATTCACTGAGTTAGGTGGTTCACTCACTTGCTCTCTCAATAAAAAACTTGTCTGCACCCCTCTAGATGAGGGGTCCCTCCTCCATGGAGATGACATCTGTGGAGGGAGGAAGACCATAAGCAAGCATGGAGATGAACACAATTTTAGAGAGCGGTAAATGCCAGGAAGAAAACTAAATCATACGGTGCAGTGGAGCATGAGTGGGGGTTACCGTGCATGGACCAAGAGGCAAATGGCTGAGGCCTGACCGACAGGCAGAAGCCAGCTGTGGCATGGGCCAGGGGTCATTTTCCAAACAAAGGGGCATGTGCAAAGAGGCTAAGAGGAGAATGACTGTGGCATGTTGGAGAAATGGAAAACAGTGACTATGGTCGAACATGAAGAGTGGGGAGGGGATTAGGCCTGATCCCACAGGCCATAGTGGGAAGGTGGGAAGCTGCTGGAGGGGCCTGAGCTGGGAAGCTGCAATCCCATTCACTGCACTAGGGGAAGGAGAGGGGGCTGGGAAGCTAGGACGTGGTCCAAGCCAGAGGGGAGGGCCTTGGGGATGGGGTAGAGGGAACGAAGACAGGGGGCGGATAGTGTAGAAAACTGGAGGAAGAGACCACAGCACCTGCTGGTGGATGCACGTGGGGTGAGATGAGATTAGGTGGATGAATAGCCAAGACTTTGGCCTCTTAAGAAAGCAGGAGGAATGAGTCAAGCACCATCGAGCTGAGCCTCAACGGTTTCCATGTCTGCCTACGAATCTAAAAACTAAAACGTTATCATAGCAGTGCTAAATATGATGGGCTTCTGGAAAACAAGTTTATAAGAAAAGTAAAATGCAAAGGCTTATAAGGCAGACAAGCATAAACTTATTTTTGCAATAAGAACTAGACCGATTATTTTCTCTGTCACGTAACGTAGGATTCTGAGTTAAGTCAATAAGGCAACACCTCTTTTAGTTACTAAGGAAAGAGGTTTAATTTTCATGAAATGCCAAGTTTAGATACCTACAATGGAACTTATAACGTGAACCGGCCCCACAGGGTGGCCTGAGGCATCCCCACCTCCACTTTAGGAGGAACAGCCAACGCCAGCCTGCACCTCGTGCCCCGTGAGGCACTCAGGTGGAGGGCTTTCTACGCCTGCCTCGTTCCTCCTCATGACCACCCTACAAGGCGGTAACTGCCCCTATCCCAGTGAGGTAAGGAACTTGCCTAAACGCACCACTGGTGGGCGGCACAGGTAGTGGCCAGACCCGGTGTGCTGACTCCAGGACCAGGGTCCACGTCCACACACAAGAAAGTGCCAGAGCCCTCACCTTCCGCCTCTCAATTTTCACTGCATTTCTAATTGAACTCCAAACACCCAAGAAGACACCTTCACTGCAGTTCCTAATCGACTATCTTAACTCAGAATAAACTGCTAATGCCTAACGTTTCAGACAGCAACACGCTATGCTGATTTCAGGAAAAACAGAAACAAAACATGTTTTCCTTCTGTACAGATCCATGCTGCCTAGCACTCCTTAGAAAATTCATTTAGTTCTTATGAAAATAGGACATAAATAGGAGCAGGGACAATGATACAGAAGCACTGGGGTTTATGTGGAGATGGCCCCAGAGCATCAGGACTTTGCTGTCTGCCAGAGGAGGGGCACTGGGCACCACCTCCACCAGACAGGCCTAGGCTGGGGTCCTGGCACAGTCCTTGTATCTGTGTGATAACCTTGGGCAAATGATTTCATCTCTCCTTGCCCCCAACACCCCATTTATAAAACAGTGAAAATCATGAATGCCTAACTCACTGGGTCACTGGGAAGACTGATTGAGACAACCCACTGGCCTGTGCTCAAGAAACACCAGCTGCCCCTCTCTGTTGAAGCAAATACATATTTTTTAAATTCTAAATAAAAAGTATAGGGGCTGGCTCTGTGGCCTAGTGGTTGGGTTTGGTGTGCTCCACTTTGGTGGCCTGGGTTTGTGGGTTCGGATCCCAAGCATGGACCTAAACCACTTGTGAGCCATGCTGTGGTGGCAACCCACACATAAAATAGAAGAAGACTGGCACAGACGTTAGCTCAGGGTGAATATTCCTCAGCAAAAAAAAAAAGAAAAGTATAACAAACCGTTTTACCTAATCCTGAATGTTCGAATCTAAGGGATTTCTTTGATGTTTATAAGAGATTATTTTAAGATGAATAAAAGAAATCCTACATGACTCCTCTTGTTGTAAGCAAATGGAGCACATTCCCAAGAATGGACTTAACAAGTCTGTTGTTATAGAAAAGAGAACACAGCTTAGGCCCCTGCCCTGAGGCTGTGGTGACCCTTGAAGCACCCTGCGGTGGCCACTGCTGGGGAAACAGTGTCAGCCGAGTGCTGTCCGGAAGAGCGAGGCTGGGACCAGCTTCTCCTAGGTCTGCACAGGTCCCTGTTCAGCCAGAGCTCCACGGTGTGGACTTTTTTAAGTTTAGGCAAACCTGGAAAGTCATTCTCAGAATTAAAAGTCCTAACAAAGCAGTCATGAATCACTCAGTGCCTGAGCCAGAGGTCTGGTTCCCCTTTCTCCTCTGAACTGACTGTCTCGAGTCTGTTTTCCTGGGCATCCACGCTCAACTCTGTGCACATATGTGAATCACAAAGCTGATGAGTCAATGCTGAAAGTAAGTCCCAGTTCGAGTCAGAAGAATAAATAGATGGCAATAATGTGGAAACCAAGAGTTACTCAAAAAACTGTGTCAGAAGACCTCCTAGAGGCCAGCTCATGCACTGGGGAGTGTGTGACCCAGCACACTGTCACCCAACCCAGCCGTGAAGGAAATGGAGGTGGAAACACCCACTCAGTGTAAAGGGTGAAAACATTTTAAATCCCCACAGCAATTTCTTATTCTTAATGTAATTCAAGATAGAAAATGTTTTAAACCCACACTTTATTTAAATGTAATAAACCCAACAAACAAAAAATCAGGTTATCTGGTGATTAGAGAAAAATGAAGTATATAATTTCAGAAGTTTATTTTTAAAAGTTCCACCTAATGAATACTACATTAAAACAAACCCCTTAGTTTTATCTAGTCAAATATACATTTAAACAACATCAGTCTCAAATTGTCTTATTCATTTTTTAGTGATAGCACAAAGGAATCAAAAAACTTCAGCAAAATGCCATTTGACAGTCTTGAAGTTCCTGGTGACCCAAACATACCAGATAATTTTCATCTTGAAAGGCATAGTGCAATGTGGTGATCCACTGACAGTCGCCGTTCACCAGCACGTCACGCTCTTCTCGGAAACAGGCAGTCTGTAAAGAATTAGGGGGAAAGTTGGTCTGTGTCCACCTGGAAAAGTACCCTGCAAAGCACAGTCCTGAATATAGGGGTCCCTGCTGTGACAGAGGCTCTGGAGACAGTGCCATCTGCCTTCCAGGCTGCAGGGAGCCTGGCCTCCCTTACTTAACCTGAAACCAGATGCACCAGCCTCTCCCCCCAAGCGGCTCCCACCTACTCCTCAGTCTTCACCTGCACCAATTGAAAAGCTAAGCGCTTCTCTGTTCTTTCCTGCTCCTGTATGCGCGCACGCAAACACACACACACACACACACACACACCACCCCCGCCCCCACATGCGCCAAGGGCTGCTGAGAATTCACTTTGAGATGGGCCTTGCACCTACCCCTTCCACACATGCCATTTCTATGGCCCACACTTGAGATAAAACCCGGCTCATGGGTAGATTTCAGCAACAGCTTCCTGGCTGCGCCCCTCCCACTCAGCACTGCTTGACTTCTCTTTAACAGGTCAACCTCCTCGGGGTAGCCTGCAGTGTGGCCGCCCTACCTCTGCCCCTCTGTCACAGACCTACAGTTTAGCAGTCACATGGCTGGCAGGAAAGGGCACACACCTGTGTACTGATCTGAGTTGGTTATTTTCAAGAAATGTGATTTATTTGCAGTATATTGATGTACCTGATCATAATAGGATTCTACCCTATGGCATGCAGCATATGGGTAAAAGGCAATCTTTTAGCTGCTATAGCTTTTTTTTTAAACAGCTTTAATACGCAAGTGGCATCTGTATTTAAAAGTAACCAGGCATAATTATAATAAAACTTCCTCTTTACTGAGGATATACCAAGACTTGAACTCCTCCTTATGAGCACCACTAATAGAGGGCTTGCTATGCAAGGCAGTGAAGAATGTGTTACACCTGTTCTCTCATTTGAGTCTGACAGTGAGCTTTAAAACTTGCTTTTTCTACAAGTTTTTCTAAACATTTTTTAAATGTTTTTCTTTCAAAAAGAAATGATTGAGGTAGATGTTTCCTGATTCTACTAATCAGAAGCAGACAAGATGACTTAGATTGGCCAACAATCAACTTACAAGTCCAAACGCGCAGAGACAAGTGGTTCTAGAACCACCACGACCCCCTGAGCCAGTGGGCACCCAGACCACAGGGACCTAGTAAAGGGACGGCTGTAAGAAAACCTGAGTACTGGGGCTGGGGCCAGCCCAGGAACCTATAGCGTCTGGGACACTGTTTCCACGAGGAGATGTTCTATGACCAAAAATGATGAACTAAAAGCCGAACCTGGTCTACAAGTTATGAACTTAGACTGCTCAGCAACTTTGCTACTGCCACCTCTTGTTGACTTCACACTTTTAAAGATTTTTAGAAGTCAATATTATTTGTTTCAAAAAAGTCTATTAAATAAGAATAAAAAGAGAAATTACTTCAACCAGCATTATATCAATACGTATATATTTTTATATATGTCACACACTCATATATATCCCATAATATATATTCTGTGATAATCATCATAATTAGCATTCTTGGACTTTTCTGAGTATGTCAATTAAATAGGATCTGTGTAACCAGATTTAAATTAAATAAGAAATATTTAGTCTTTGAAAATATACTCATTCACCATGACATTTGGGTAAATACTAATATGATAAGGTGAGAATCACCTCTCCCTAAACCATTTTTACAATTTAAACACACACAGACACACATTTTTTTCTAGAGGTTAACATAAGTTATATTAAATGTGGCTCTGCTAACTTCTTTCATAAATCAATCACTCCTGTAGAAATATAATCTTGAATGGAATTTGCTACTAGTATTTTTTTACCCCCATACACCTTATTCCTCCCCCAAACTTTCACGTAACAGCATCTACTTTTTTCCCCACAGAAGAACTGCTTCAATGGTTTTTCTGCCTTTGCCAAAGTGCCAGTGGTGCCGTGGAGAAGGGCTGGTGAAGCACGAGATAAGGAAAATGACGGAGGGAGGACGAAGAAGAAGAAACCAGCAGAGTGAAGAGGGATGGAAGGTTCAGTCACGGGCCACCAACATTTTGAGCCCAGGTGACTGCAAAAATGGTGATGACTCAGTCAACTAACATGCCTTTATTGAGCAATAAGACCTTGTGCTGGGTGCCACCGCAGGAAAGAGGAAATGCGTATGGATGGGGAAGAAGAACAAGCCATAAATGATTTAGACACGATGGACCTCAGATGCCAGAGGGATGCTGAAGTGAGAATGCCCACCAAGTCAGTGAAAACTCGAAGCTCAGGAGGGCAATGTTACCTAAATAAACAGTTTGTGTTATCTACTCAAAGTGGCAGCTATCATCGGCAGATAAGAGTTCCAGAACAAAAGAAGAAAAAGCCACCTAAAATTACAAGGAGGATTTACAGCAATAGGATGAGAGAGGCTAGAAACCAAAGAAGGAATTTCCACAAGGAGGAGGTGTTCAATTCTAGAGGGGAACGCTGCAGGCAAGCAACGGCCTTGTTTAGCAGCTATAAAGTGAAGCAGCAGTGGTGCTGAGGCGAGAAATGAGCCAGAGTGAACCACTACCACAGATGGCAGCCTGGGTGGAGAACAGGCACTCGGTGCATTCTGGCATGGGGCGAATCAAATGAGAGGACAATGGATAAGTGATGGAGCAGATCAGAGGACAAAGCCAGGAGGTTAACTGGCAACATGTCCTTGGAAAGGAGGCAAAACGGAGGAATACAGAAGCTGTGAGGCATCGGAGGGGAGTCTGGAGATGACCAGAGGAAAAGCTTTGGCTCATGCGGCAGACCTCACCTGTCTCAATCAGGGGCTGAGTGTGGGGCTGGAGAGAATGGAGTAGGGGGCATGAAACAGCCGCCACGGGGATGGAAACAGAATTAAGAAAAAGGGGATCAGAGACTGGCATGCAGTAGTCATCTGCTTTTATTGATATTCCTCATTCTCCATCTAAGAGAGGATATAAAAACATTTCTGTACTTAAGTAGGATCCAAATTCTCTAACTCCTTTTGCATATGGAGCAGAACTGCGAAAAATGCCTAAAACTTGATGGAGGTTTTAATTTGCCCTTACAGTAAACAACAATCTGGCTGATACACTTGAGGGGGCACTCTCAAGCGGGGCACCTGGTAGAGGAGTAAACACCGATGCAGAGAGGAGCAGGTGCCTGGGAGGAGGCTGAGATCCTGACAACAAAAAGCACCTCACTCTTGTCAAGGAAGGAAGGTCTAGACTTGTGAGGACTGGGGTTCTTACCCAGCAGGGCTTAAAACCCCCCGTTTACTTATTGATTTATTTAATACTCCACATTTACCTCTGCTCTTTTAAGCATTTCCCACTTGTTGAGGATTTTCATTGCATAAATTCGTTCAGTGTTCTTCATTTTGACAACAGCAACCTGAAATACAAATGGGAGTTTAACAAAAATCTAGTTAATACAACAAAAGGCCAGCACATGGTCATATAACTACAGTGAAATCTGAATTGCCTGGAAACCCTGGAAAATGAGCTGTTAAGGAAAGTAATGTTTCTACGTAAATAACTATTTGCCCTTTTAAGCATCAAAACTTGATTTTAGCCACACTGCAACTTGACAGATCTCACTTGCTCAGTTCAAAAGCTTCAATGCTGAGCGATGGGTACACAGGGGGTTCACCGCCCTCTACTTTGGGGTATATCTGGAGATTTCCATAATAAAAACTTCTTAAAATCATCAGTGGCTCCCAAGCTTTCCCCCCTGCATTCAAGGGTTCCATCCCCACAGTCATTCCTATTCACCCCCACTGATGCTCACGTCTCCCTCTGACCACCAGCTTTTGCACGCGCCAGTTCTTGCCTCTAAGATCTTTTCTTCACAGGGGTAGTGACTATCTGTGTGGGCTCTGGAGTCTAACCTGGGCAAATTCACTTCTTTGTGCCTCAGTTTCTACAACCAGAAGGGGATAACAGCAGGACTGGCCTAAGATTGCCACGAGGATCAAATGAGTCAACACATTTAACATGCTCAGAATGATGTGAGGCACACAGCATTCGTATGTTGGCTGTCAGCCATATTCTTCAAGGTACAACTCAAATGCCCCCCTCTTCCAGGACGTCCTCTTGGACTTCCCAGTCCCTGACAAATCTCTAAGGAGCTTTTCCATCCCTACCAACGCTAGTTGCGATGTTTGTGCCATCGTATGGCACATTCTACCCCATATAAATCTATCATTCATCGGCTTAAGTCCCCATCATAAAACCGTAAACTACATAATGGCAGTGATAGTAACTTCTGTAACCGTTTGTGGCCAGTGGCAGGCAGCCACACAACAGATATGGAACAAAGAGTTCTTAAATTGAATTAGCTACATCCTTGCTTTCTAAACAACACATACGATACAATAACATCCTCAAAGTAATCACAAGAGCTAACATGCACTGAGCACTTTCTGTGTGCCAGGACCTATGCTAAGCAATTTATCTGCACTCTCTGAGTTAATCTTCACCACAATCCTAGATAGTGGCTATATTTAACATCCTTGTGGTACAGATGTGGAATTTGAGGCTCAGAGGGGTTAAATAACACGCCTAAGAAGTGGCAGAGCCTCACTCTCAGGCTTATGCTTTTAAAGACTATATTGCTAATATAATATAGTCATAATTAATATAATCACAATTAAAGATAACTTCCCTGGGCCTGATATTGGGGGCGCCACAATGAACACACCCTGATGTGATCCCAGAGCCTGCTGAGAGTCAAAGGCATCTGCCCTACACTACAGGGCTTCCAGCCAGGCTCCCCGTGCCCACCGTGGGGATTGAAATCATTCTCCGGTCATCTCCCTTGGTCATCTCTCTCACTGCCCCCGCTGGTGCTCCTCCTCTCGACATAACACGCTTAAGCTGCTGTTTACATAGTATTTACTATTGAAATGGTCTAACTTAGAAGGAATGGTAGAGCTGATAACTTTTGAGGAAAAGAATTAAATTCTGAAGATGACAAGCCTCATGAACACTTCAGATCTTGCTGAAAATGAGGCCTATTAGGGCACAGACTATTTCCAGAAAACATGCAAAATGACTCTCATAAAATACATAGAAGGGAAAAGAATATATCCGTACAAGGAAAATATTTGTCAAATTAAGAATATGAAGAAAGGAAATGTAGAAGTTTAATGTAAAAACACCCCAAAACCCTGTTACTGAACAAGCTTTCTCCATTGCACAATAACTTACAAAATAAACAATTTCCAAAAATCTTGTTTGGTTTACCAGAAACTTCTTCCTGAGCAAAAACTCAATCTTAATTGCTTCAAAGAAAGATGATGATCTTACAAATTATCTCCAAAATTAGACGTTTCAGTAAAGAAATACAAATCAAAATAATTTTATAAAACACTAAGAAGTGATCCTGGGGGCCGGCCCTGTGGCTTAGCGGTTAAGTGCACGCGCTCCGCTACTGGCAGCCCGGGTTCGGATCCCGGCGCGCACCGACGTACCGCTTCTCCGGCCATGCTGAGGCCGTGTCCCACATACAGCAACCAGACGGATATGCAACGATGTCATACAACTATCTACTGGGGCTTTGGAGAGAAAAAAAGGAGGAGGATTGGCAATAGACGTTAGCTCAGAGCGGGTCTTCCTCAGCAAAAAGAGGAGGATTAGCATGGTTGTTAGATCAGGGCTGATCTTCTTCACACACACACAAAAAAAACAGTGATTCTGGGACACACTAAGTGTATACCTGATGCTAGCTCAGATCCGGTCCTGGAGGGAGGAGGACAGAACAAAAACATGCTATGAAGGATATCACTGGGCCAACAGACAAAACTGGTGTAAGACTGTGGATTAGACAAAAAGTATTTTTTTTTTTTTTT